CACACAAACACTTTCCAGTTTGAAGCCACTCAGAAAATGCATGCTCAAATTTTTGGCATGGAAGACCCGAAGTTAATCAGGTGAAGCATTCATAAATTGTCACATGAAAACCAGAATTTCAATGTTCCACATTATTTCAATAAAACTGATAAAAAATAAAATTGGTAAACTAGGCCCAAAATCAAACCAAATCGTTCTCTATGATACAGTACATTAGCTTGTGCTACTAGGTCAGATGCCATGCTCTTCCCTTAAGTGACCTGACTAGGTCAACGCACTGGCTTAAGCCGGTGGGAGAACTGGACTTGCCTCACATAGGCCAGTAGGCCTGTTGCAGTGTTCCTTCTTTCTTATGTTCTTATTTCATGTTTGCAGTCAATCCAAGAGGCACTCTCCCTTTCACTGTCCAGACCTCCAATCTGAAATTTGTCCAACATGTCCAAGAATTTTCAAAATTGTTTTTTGTTATTTTTCTTATGAAATGGTAGAGAATCTTTTTCTGAAGGTAATAAAATATTATATTATATTATATTATCACACCGGCCGATTCCCACCAAGGCAGGGTGGCCCGAAAAAGAAAAACTTTCACCATCATTCACTCCATCACTGTCTTGCCAGAAGGGTGCTTTACACTACAGTTTTTAAACTGCAACATTAACACCCCTCCTTCAGAGTGCAGGCACTGTACTTCCCATCTCCAGGACTCAAGTCCGGCCTGCCGGTTTCCCTGAATCCCTTCATAAATGTTACTTTGCTCACACTCCAACAGCACGTCAAGTATTAAAAACCATTTGTCTCCATTCACTCCTATCAAACACGCTCACGCATGCCTGCTTGGAAGTCCAAGCCCCTCGCACACAAAACCTCCTTTACCCCCTCCCTCCAACCCTTCCTAGGCCGACCCCCTACCCCGCCTTCCTTCCACTACAGACTGATACACTCTTGAAGTCATTCTGTTTCGCTCCATTCTCTCTACATGTCCGAACCACCTCAACAACCTTCCTCAGCCCTCTGGCCCAACAGTTTGGTAATCCCGCACCTCCTCCTAACTTCCAAACTACGAATTCTCTGCATTATATCACCACACATTGCCCTCAACATGACATCTGTTCCTCCATCTGTTTATTCAATATCAGCAACCTTCATCAACCACTTTCACAACCATACCAAAAAGCGTTGTAAAAATGCTGCTCATCATTACCCTACATCATCCAAAGAGGAAAGTCACTCATATAGATGTCCTAGTTGAGCGATACTCATTTAATTGACTCATCAGGATAATTCACCTCATTAATTGAAGACTATCCTGAAAACCACAACACTCCCAGAATAACTGCAATAGTTCATGCTCCTCCATAACTTTCTGGCATGAACGAATTAATCATAATCATAAACTTGTCACATAAACCAGAATTTTAAATTTCCATATATCTTAATCTTTCCTGATTCAAACCTTAATATTGTATTTTCACCCCTAAACCCAAAATTTTCTCCACCAATCATCAACTTTCTCAGAAGGTCCAAGAGCACATGTCATCAGCTAAGTGACCTGACAGTCCACACTGGTGTAATGCCGTTGTGAATCACGCCTCTTGCCAAGACCTCGCATTTATTTCTTCTCCTTCTTATTTTAAATTCATCGGTGACATCACAAGCACCTCCTTTAAGGTCCCCCTTTTCCAAAAATTTCCTCTGTTCCAAATATTCTAACTTGACTTATTTATTTCTTATGAAAAGTATTGCACTGCTTTCATAACCTAGCTCCTACACAAATACAAAATTTGATGGAAAACTGACGAAATTATGCTTCTGCAAAGTTTGCAGTGTCAGTGATAATAACGCATTAGCAATTTTGCTCACTTTTGGGTCCTATTTTAGGCCAATTACATTGTTCCAGTCAACCAAATTCTTTTCTACTTTGTTACTATGTCTTCCTTTCTATCAAGTGAGCACAAAAAATTGCCATATCACCTATTTCAACTTTCCAATAAAGTGATTGAAAATTGATAACTTGGCCAATTTCACACAAATTTCAAAATATCCCAAATTTAAAATAAAGGCAAAAATAAACAATGCAGGCATTCCTGGCACTAAAATAACATTTCCTCTGTTCATTAGTTACATTCTCAGGCTGAACTCATGAATTTCATTTTGATTTTTTTATTCACACAAAGGATTTTTATTCACACAAAAAAATATAAGATTACTGTTATGCAACATTGTAATAATTATATAAATAATATCAGTGCATTCATGAATGCATATTAGACCCACCAGATGGACACATATTGGATGAATGACGTGATTTGTTTACTCTTGAATATCGGCAAAATTTGAACATTTCCACCATTTTCAGCTCAATTTCAAGCTATTTTTAGTCCTGAAACCAATCAAAATTATCTCTATTTCTGTAATATATCTTTCATTCTATCAAATGAGACCAAGAAACCGAGAATACCACCATAAAAACCATACAAAAATACTCTGCAAATTTGCCGTTTTAAACCAAAACCATGGTCACAATTTTTTCTCATTATGCAGTGTGCTGCAGGATTTTGTTTTTTTACATGGTGACACTTACCACACAGACCCATTCTCCCATATCTAGAATCAAATTTACTGCTCACAGCTTATCTGAGTGAGCCGAGTAGTACGGAATGACCAGTGACCTCAAAGCTGTAGTATTACAGCACAGCCGGTGAACTGGTTAATAAAATTGGCAAATCATTGTGAAGCTTTTTTTTCAAGAAATCACACCAGTGGTAAAACATGAAGCTGACCAAAAGAAGCATTCTCCAATTATTGCTTGGATTCCAACAACTAAAAGTTTATTAAATATCTATACATTGGTAAAATTCTTCCTCTGTAAGCCATGCATGTTGTAAGAAGTGACTAAAATGCTGGGAGCAAGGGGCTAGTAGCCCCTTCTTCCTATATAAATTACTAAATTTAAAAAGAAAAACTTTCATTTTTTCTTCTTAGGTCACCCTGCCTTGGTAGGATACAGCTGGTTTGTTGAAAAAAAAAAAATGTTGGTAAAATTAAAAATTTGTATGCGCACAGCCTAAACTCAGATGTTATCACTTTTACAAGATTGAAATAATTCAGAAGAGGCATTCTCAAGTTATCCAACACCAAAACTTGAACAATTACACAAAAACAAACAAACAAATATTTTATTTCCTTGTGCAGTATAAAAAATGTACTTTACAGTAATAAAATATTGTTAAGCACAAAAGAAAGCCACTACCATGCATGCGCATTTCAAGCAGACTAATCCTAATGCTTACAGACTACTTAAGGCTAGACATAGGTAATGAGTGGTACAATTATAAGTACACATTATTACAAAAAGAGAGGAAGTAAAAATAGCACAACTTTAAGTATGTATTAATACTTTAAACTGATTAAGTAGTTTCTAACAGGCTCTATGATTTCAGGAAGTAGTTAGATGAACTAGTATTGTTAGGTACAGATGAACTGGTTTTGTTTGGTATAGCACAGTGTGGCATTTAAGTTAGGGAGATGAGGTGATTTCTAATTATAGCTCTAAATTGATTGGCAAATGCAAGACCTTTCACTGGTTCTGGCAATGAATTCCAGATCTTGGGGCACTTTATGTGCACTGCATTTTTGCATAGGGTGAGGCAGACACAGAGGATGACTCATGAAATCGTAATGACACGATTGCAAACAAGCCATACCATGGTGGGGTTTGAACCCATGGTCAGAGAGTCTCAAAACTCCAGACCGTCGCATTCGCCACTGGGCCAGCTAATGCAAGACACAGGGGATGTTGAGGTGTTTTGTGCCTTGTGTTGTGCCTGTGTGTTCTGCTGTAGCTATCAAGGAGAAGTTTGAGGGGAAGGGTTTTTGTTAAAGTTTAATGTTCTATATATATATATAACAGGGACAGTAATGTGAGTGCATATTTTGTGTATTTAGTAAGTTCAAATTCTTGAAGAGTGGGGGGACTGTGTTGTTGGACAGAAATGGTGTTATAATCCACAGAGCAGCTTTTTGTTGGCTTACTAAAGTTTAAGGTGACTAGTCACATAGTACATCCCCAAGCACAAAAATATCACCCCCATAGGTGACTTCAAGGTAGATTAGGGAGTGGTCAGTGTAACTAGTGTGTTTGAGAGTACATTAGTAAACCAAATCTGGAGAGGGAATGCCTACTGTTTTGGAGACCTTGGCTATGGTGTTGGACATGCTGGTAAAATCAATACTGTAATATTGGCCCCCCCCCCCCCCCCCACTCACTATATACTCCAATAAAAATCCCAGCCTTCTTCTAAGTAGGATACATCAGAGCTAAAACCTTGAAGCTGACTAGAAGACACTAAATTATCATATGGATTCCAGAATCCAGGAATGGTCTATATAAAATTAATGAGAGGGCACTTGCACATGCCAGTAGATGCACAAACATTTCCCTAGTTATAGTAAACCTCTTCCTCTTCTTCAACAAACCAGCCATATCAAACCAAGGCAGGGTGGCCCAAAAAGGAAAAATAAAAGATTCTCATTATAAATTTAGGAATATATAGGGAGAAGGGGTTACTACATAAATGCTCGTATATGCATGTGTAGTGTCACCTAAGCATAAGTAGAAGTAGCAAGACATACCTGAAATCTTGCACATTTAAGAGACAGAAAAAAGACACCAGCAGCTTCTGTTTCACACTCACTTGGCAGAATGGTAGTACAGTACCTTTCTGGGCAGTTGCTGCCTACCAACCTATTATCTAGGTTACAGTAAACTAACAATGAAAATTTTAAACTGATCGGATTAGGCATTCTTAAGTAACAAGTGAAAACTTTGGAGGAAGAAAAGAAAAATCTGTCAACCACTTTAAAGGTTTCTCTTTAAGGATACCTAAAAAGTCAACTATACCAGTTCCAGGTCATGTGAAGCAATGAAACTGTAAAATCTTTTATTCTGGTTTAATTACCTAAAGGTGCATGATGGTCACAAGCTTCAAGAACAGACTTACTTGTTAAACCTTTAGTTTGCAGGAGACGGTTTGCTCTGACAGGTACAAAGAGACGTTTACGGCCACCCCTCTTACGTCGATGAAACATTCTTGATGCTCCTGGTCCACCTCTAACACCCTTGTTAATGGAAATTCTACCTCTGCCTCGAAGACATGATGACGGATTGCCTTGAATTGTCATCTGTTGACAGAATACATTATGTAAGAAAAAAGAAAAAAATAACTTTCAAGAATGTATATCCACAAACTATTAGGTACTTGTACAGTATAATTCTTTACTTAATTTACATACAAGTTGCTGGACACCCTGATACAATCATTCATATATTACATTAATTTTATATAAAAACTAATGCCTATGGAATGACAAGGGGTAAATGCATAATAATTCTACCTTCCTGTGGCAAGGAATGGTAGTTTATTATTCTCCTGTACTAATACTGTAGATGATTTAATTTGGGTTATCAACCTAGAGAATTAGCAACCCAGGATAACCCAAGAAAAGGCACTATGTTTCACTTATTTCTACTGGGATCCTATGAGCCTCTTCCCCAGAATGGAGCCCACAATAGTCAGTTATCACTCAGATACCTACTTACTAAATGAACAGGGCATCAGGTGTAATGAAACAGGCCCAATATTTTAACTTATTCTGGGATTAAACCAAAGTCTATCAGATGTGAGGCTTTGGCTCACATCTGATAGACTAACTGCGGTTAATTTAGAAATGACTATTTCCAGGCAGATAAAAGAACAGATAGTAGGTTGGTAGACAGCAACCACCCAGGGAAGTACTACCGTCCTGCCAGATGACTGTGAAACAGAAACCTGTAACTGTTTTGCATGATGGTAGGATTGCTGGTTTCTTTTTCTGTCTCATAAACACGCTAGATAACAGGGATATCTTGCTACTCCTACTTACACTTTGGTCACACTTCACAGACACGCACATGCATATATATATATACATACATCTAGGTTTTTCTCCTTTTTCTAAATAGCTCTTGTTCTTCTTTATTTCTTCTACTGTCCATGGGGAAGTGGAAAAGAATCTTTCCTCCGTAAGCCATGCGTGTCGTATGAGGCGACTAAAATGCCGGGAGCAATGGGCTAGTAACCCCTTCTCCTGTAGACATTACAAAAAAGAGAAGAAGAAAAACTTTATAAAACTGGGATGCTTAAATGTGCGTGATGTAGTGTGGATGACAAGAAACAGATGATTGCTGATGTTATGAATGAAAAGAAGTTGGATGTCCTGGCCCTAAGCGAAACAAAGCTGAAGGGGTAGGGGAGTTTCAGTGGGGGAAATAAATGGGATTAAATCTGGAGTATCTGAGAGAGTTAGAGCAAAGGAAGGGGTAGCAGTAATGTTGAATGATCAGTTATGGAAGGAGAAAAGAGAATATGAATGTGTAAATTCAAGAATTATGTGGATTAAAGTAAAGGTTGGATGCGAAAAGTGGGTCATAATAAGCATGTATGCACCTGGAGAAGAGAGGAATGTAGAGGAGAGAGAGAGATTTTGGGAGATGTTAAGTGAATGTATAGGAGCCTTTGAACCAAGTGAGAGAGTAATTGTGGTAGGGGACCTGAATGCTAAAGTAGGAGAAACTTTTAGAGAGGGTGTGGTAGGTAAGTTTGGGGTGCCAGGTGTAAATGATAATGGGAGCCCTTTGATTGAACTTTGTATACAAAGGGGTTTAGTTATAGGTAATACATATTTTAAGAAAAAGAGGATAAATAAGTATACAAGATATGATGTAGGGCGAAATGACAGTAGTTTGTTGGATTATGTATTGGTAGATAAAAGACTGTTGAGTAGACTTCAGGATGTACATGTTTATAGAGGGGCCACAGATATATCAGATCACTTTCTAGTTGTAGCTACACTGAGAGTAAAAGGTAGATGGGATACAAGGAGAATAGAAGCATCAGGGAAGAGAGAGGTGAAGGTTTATAAACTAAAAGAGGAGGCAGTTAGGGTAAGATATAAACAGCTATTGGAGGATAGATGGGATAATGAGAGCATAGGCAATGGGCTCGAAGAGGTATGGGGTAGGTTTAAAAATGTAGTGTTAGAGTGTTCAGCAGAAGTTTGTGGTTACAGGAAAGTGGGTGCGGGAGGGAAGAGGAGCGATTGGTGGAATGATGATGTAAGGAGAGTAGTAAGGGAGAAAAAGTTAGCATATGAGAAGTTTTTACAAAGTAGAAGTGATGCAAGGAGGGAAGAGTATATGGAGAAAAAGAGAGGTTAAGAGAGTGGTGAAGCAATGTAAAAAGAGAGCAAATGAGAGAGTGGGTGAGATGTTATCAACAAATTTTGTTGAAAATAAGAAAAAGTTTTGGAGTGAGATTAACAAGTTAAGAAAGCCTAGAGAACAAATGGATTTGTCAGTTAAAAATAGGAGAGGAGAGTTATTAAATGGAGAGTTAGAGGTATTGGGAAGATGGAGGGAATATTTTGAGGAATTGTTAAATGCTGATGAAGATAGGGAAGCTGTGATTTCGTGTATAGGACAAGGAGGAATAACATCTTTTAGGAGTGAGGAAGAGCCAGTTGTGAGTGTGGGGGAAGTTCGTGAGGCAGTAGGTAAAATGAAAGGGGGTAAGGCAGCCGGGATTGATGGGATAAAGATAGAAATGTTAAAAGCAGGTGGGATATAGTTTTGGAGTGGTTGGTGCAATTATTTAATAAATGTATGGAAGAGGGTAAGGTACCTAGGGATTGGCAGAGGGCATGCATAGTTCTTTGTATAAAGGCAAAGGGGATAAAAGAGAGTGCAAAAATTATAGGGGATAAGTCTGCTGAGTATACCTGGTAAAGTGTATGGTAGAGTTATTATTGAAAGAATTAAGAGTAAGACGGAGAATAGGATAGCAGATGAACAAGGAGGCTTTAGGAAAGGTAGGGGGTGTGTGGACCAGTGTTTACAGTGAAACATATAAGTGAACAGTATTTAGATAAGGCTAAAGAGGTCTTTGTGACATTATGGATTTGGAAAAGGCGTATGACAGGGTGGATAGGGGGGCAATGTGGCAGATGTTGCAAGTGTATGGTGTAGGAGGTAGGTTACTGAAAGTGAAGAGTTTTTACGAGGATAGTGAGGCTCAAGTTAGAGTATGTAGGAAAGAGGGAAATTATTTCCCAGTAAAAGTAGGCCTTAGACAAGGATGTGTGATGTCACCGTGGTTGTTTAATATATTTATAGATGGGGTTGTAAGAGAAGTAAATGCGAGGGTCTTGGCAAGAGGCGTGGAGTTAAAAGATAAAGAATCACACACGAAGTGGGAGTTGTCACAGCTGATCTTTGCTGATGACACTGTGCTCTTGGGAGATTCTGAAGAGAAGTTGCAGAGATTGGTGGATGAATTTGGTAGGGTGTGCAAAAGAAGAAAATTAAAGGTGAATACAGGAAAGAGTAAGGTTATGTGGATAACAAAAAGATTAGGTGATGAAAGATTGAATATCAGATTGGAGGGAGAGAGTATGGAGGAGGTGAATGTATTCAGATATTTGTGAGCGAACGTATCAGAGGATGGGTCTATGAAAGATGAGGTGAATCATAGAATTGATGAGGGGAAAAGAGTGAGTGGTGCACTTAGGAGTCTGTGGAGACAAAGAACTTTGTCCTTGGAGGCAAAGAGGGGAATGTATGAGAGTATAGTTTTACCAACGCTCTTATATGGGTGTGAAGCATGGGTGATGAATGTTGCAGCAAGGAGAAGGCTGGAGGCAGTGGAGATGTCATGTCTGAGGGCAATGTGTGGTGTGAATATAATGCAGAGAATTCGTAGTTTGGAAGTTAGGAGGAGGTGCGGGATTACCAAAACTGTTGTCCAGAGGGCTGAGGAAGGGTTGTTGAGGTGGTTCGGACATGTAGAGAGAATGGAGCGAAACAGAATGACTTCAAGAGTGTATCAGTCTGTAGTGGAAGGAAGGCGGGGTAGGGGTCGGCCTAGGAAAGGTTGGAGGGAGGGGGTAAAGGAGGTTTTTGTGTGCGAGGGGCTTGGACTTCCAGCAGGCATGCGTGAGCGTGTTTGATAGGAGTGAATGGAGACAAATGGTTTTTAATACTTGACGTGCTGTTGGAGTGTGAGCAAAGTAACATTTATGAAGGGGTTCAGGGAAACCGGCAGGCCGGACTTGAGTCCTGGAGATGGGAAGTACAGTGCCTGCACTCTGAAAGAGGGGTGTTAATGTTGCAGTTTAAAAACTGTAGTGTAAAGCACCCTTCTGGCAAGACAGTGATGGAGTGAATGATGGTGAAAGTTTTTTTTTTCGGGCCACTCTGCCTTGGTGGGAATCGGCCAGTGTGATAATAAAAAAAAAAAAGGATAAAAGAATAACAAAGTTATGTCTATCAGCCTGCCAAAAAATTTACCCCTACCTCCAACCTAGGAAACGGGTAGGGGTAAAGGAGGTTGAGTACTAGGGGGCGGATGGGGCTTGGGCATCCAACAGGCTCATGTGAGTATGTTAGTAGAGATTGAAGGTAAGTGGTTTTTTGACTTATGAAGGGATTCAAAGAAACCAGTTAGCTGGACTTAATTCCTGGAGGTGGGAAGTACAGTGCTTGCACTCTGACGGAGGGGTGAGGATGTAGTGGTTTGGAGGTTCATCTGAAGTGTAATGTCAGCATGCTTCTGAATGAATGACAACGGAAAGTGATTTCTATGTTGGGTCACCCTACCTCGGTGGGAGACGCAGGAATGTTTAAAAAAAAAACTTACTTGAGATGTGCAGAGCCAAGGGCAATTTTCCCCCGTCAGCATAGGTGACCAGAGATTAGGACAACACTTGTAATGTCTGGCAGATGGAGTAAAGGAAGTCACTTACATCACTTGCTAAAGTGGCCACTGGAATATTGGCAGTATATGCATATCTTTTGAATCTGTCAACAAAGGAATAAGAAAAGGCATCGGTTCAGCTGTAGAGGACAAGTAAAAGTGGATACGGTGGAACCCCAGTTTTTGTCCGGTCCGGTTATCATACAATTCAGTTTTTGACCACCTTTTTCAGTGAAATTTTCCCCGTTTTTTACATCCATTTGGAAATCGACTGTACCAGACACATCCACCTGCCCAAAGGACATGGCCGCTCATACATTCGTGACTGATGGTGGTAGTGGTTGTGATGGTAATAGAGGGTGGTAGTGATGGTGGTAGAGGGTGGTAGTGATGGTGGTAGAGGGTGGTAGTGATGGTGGTAGAGGGTGGTAGTGATGGTGGTAGAGGGTAGTAGTGATGGTGGTAGAGGGTGGTAGTGATGGTGGTAGAGGTTGGCAGTGATGGTGGTAGAGGGTGGTAGTGATGGTGGTAGAGGTTGGCAGTGATGGTGGTAGAGGGTGGCAGTGGTTGTGGTGGTAGAGGGTGGCAGTGGTTGTGGTGGTAGAGGGTGGTAGTGGTTGTGATGGTGGTTGAAGGTGGTAGTGATGGTGGTAGAGGGTGGTAGTGATGGTGGTAGAGGGTGGTAGAAGAGGCGTCACTAGAGCTGGTGTCACCTGGGGCAGAATCTCTGGTGTCACCCGGGGCAGCATCTTTGGTGTCACCCCCATGAAATTCAAGGGTTGGGGGATGAGGAAGGTAAACTCCAGTTATGTCACTACTGCATGACAAGTGACAAATATTTAGCAATGAGAACGTTTAAGGGCCATAAACTGAACAGGAGAATACTTCTCAACTTTATTAATGATAAAATAAATAATCGTAGTAATATTGAGGAAACATAAACTCAAAATGATGGAAAATTATATTTCATATAGTCGACTTGAAATCCTGAAATGGGAATAACAATACCTGCATTTAAAGGAGATTGGAATGGCAGTTTGAGGATATGTTGTGTATCTATGGGATGTCTAGACTGTTGTATTGGCACCTCTGCAAAAACAGTGATAATCTCATGTGGTGAAGTGTTGATGTGATGACAAGTTTTATCCTTTTGGGATTTTCTTTTATGGTCACCCTGCCTCGGTGAGACGGCGACTGTTGAAAAAAAAAAAAAAAAAATAAAAAATCTCAAATACCCTTGTCAGACAGACTACATATTCATCTTTACATGCCAAAAAAAAAAAAAAAAAAAAAACTTGAAATAAAGAAACATTGCATATCAAGAACATATTCGTATGACTTGAGTAAGTAACATCCAGGAATCTGATCTACATCTTGCTTCAGTTATGAATCTCTTTCATCATCAAAATCAATGATTTTCCTTATATAGGCTTATTTGTACTTTGTTAATATATATATAGAAATGAAGGATTCTTCTCTTATTTTAGTGAAGCACTGTTTTGTGCATTAGTGTCACCTTCTTTAGAGGCTCTATGGTGTCACCCGGGGTGGCCTGCACCCCCCTTACGATGCCCTTAGTTGGTAGTGATGGTGGTAGAGGGTGGTAGTGATGGTGGTAGAGGTTGGTAGTGATGGTGGTAGAGGGTGGTAGTGATGGTGGTAGAGGGTGGTAGTGATGGTGGTAGAGGGTGGTAGTGATGGTGGTAGAGTGGTAGTGATGCTGGCAGAGGGAGGTAGTGATGGTGGTAGAGGGTAGTAGTGATGGTGGTAGAGGGTGGTAGTGGATGTGATGGTGGCAGAGGGTGGTAGTGATTGTGGTAGAGGGTGGCAGTGATGGTGGAAAAGAACCTCTCCTCTCTCTCTCCCCTCCTCACCATCTTCTATATGCCAACAAGAGTCTTCAATAAAGGTAAAAGTGATTTAAATGTTCATTTATCCATTTCATTAGTGCTTTATATTTATATAAAACCATAGTTATTCTCTATAAATGTAATTTTTGTTAATATTTTTGGGTGTCTGGAACGGATTATTGGATTTACACTATTTCTTAGGGAATACATGTATTACTTCAGTTTTCATACAAACTGGTTTTCGGCCGACCTTCTGGAACGGATTAGAGACGAAAACTGGGGTTCCACTGTACTGAATTACAGAAATGAATCCACTGTAAGGTTCTTTTTACTTGTAGATATTTTGTGTTTTATATAAATATCTGCAATTTAATTTTATGTTTTATTAGTATTACTCCTAGGTTAAGTCTGCTTAAAATGCTTTGTATAACTAAGGGTTCTTCCATGTCAGAAATATTTGTAACACAAATGTATTTTCTTGAAAAATAAATGATTATGATTATGGCAGACCTATGAATAATTAAATCTAACATATTACAAACCAAGTGAAACAAAGTAGATAGCATGCACATATGCCATTTCCAAGAAAGCTTATTGAGAAACCCTCTGCATTCAAAAGAAAACAAGTTGTGGAAGGAAAGGATTTTAGCAATTAATAGCACAGAGTAAATGGAAAGCCACTTATTGCTGTCACAAGTAGGAGTAAGTTTGTGAAGGTACTTTACTTTGCTTTAAATGGTGTGAGATGCCATGTTGAAGACACAAGTTGTGGATCAGGGCCATTGCGCTCCAGCTCTCTCAGAACGCGTGTTGGAATATACGCCGCATTGATTGTCATCGAGAGTACTTCCCGTAACACCAGTTCTACTGATCCTGGACCTACACTCTGAGACTGCTTTGCTGCAAACATACAGTACAATTATTTTTTTGTTAACTTTACACAGAGGCAAACAAACTGCCTATGCTTGAACCAATTTGCAATCATTGTATTTAAAAAAATAACCTATGATAATTTTACCATGTTAATTTTCCTACAAGGTGGCAATGTTAATACCTTAGCATCATCTATAAAGTTACTAATACTGTTTTCTTTATTTTAAGTTAGATTAGGTTAGGCTAGATTAGGTTAACCTGGCTTAGGTTGATAAGATTACACACTTGTAAAATTTAACACTTTATTTAAGCACAAAGGTGGCCTATTATAGGAAATGTTCATTCTGAATGTGTATCGCTCATGGTGTGAGAATTGCTTAAAATATATGATGAAATACAGCAGTTTTAACATTTGCTGAGGCATCTGAGGCTCAAACTGTAAAATCAAAACCAGCCTAATAAATTTTTAAAGTGTTCAAATGATTTCTTAGATCCTATACTGTTTTCTCTGTTCCACCATTTTCAATAATTTTAATAGCCATTTAAATGCTTCCAAAAACTGAGAAGCCTCTATGACAGTTATAAACAAACATGAGGAAATGGGAGTTTTGGTTGACGTCAAAGTACCAAGACTGAGCCACTTTACGTTGACAACTGATTCAGTACGAGTTTAAAAATGGGACATTTATCCAGCTACAGTATCACATCTCCCTCACCCACTTTAGTAATCATAAACACTAGCAAAATACAAATGAAAGAGGATGCACTAAGAATTTGTGGAAAGAAATACTGCTTGTCATTTTAAAAATAAATGCATACTCACCCACTTTAGATTTGCTGAGATAAGGTCCTGTATAGCACCAGTGGTTCACATACAATCTAGGACACCAAAGAGATCGCTGACTTCCTCCACTTAACAGTGATTCAACTGTCTGTGAATTCTCATTACTTCTTTCTTGACTCATTTCCTAAAAGGAGAGTAGTGATTAACATTTTTTAAAGAAACAAGGTTCCTTCAGAGTAAATGTATAAGGAAAATCTCTCACCAAAGAGAAAATCATTATACAGTACAGTAAAGTCTTGTTATAACCAGCCCCCTATATAATGGATGGTGGATATAACAGATCCTAGGTAGTAGGTTGGTAGACAGCAACCGCCCAGGGAGGTACTACCGTCCTGCCAAGTGAGTGTAAAACAGAAGCCTGTAATTGTTTTACATGATGGTAGGATTGCTGGTGTCTTTTTTCTGTCTCATAAACATGCAAGATTTCAGGTACATCTTGCTACTTCTACTTACACTTAGGGCACACTACACATACATGTACAAGCATATATATACATACCCCTCTGAGTTTTCTTCTATTTTCTTTCTAGTTCTTGCTCTTGTTTATTTCCTCTTATCTCCATGGGGAAGTGGAACAAAATTCTTCATCCATAAGCCATGCGTGTTGTAAGAGGCGACTAAAATGCCGGGAGCAAGGGGCTAGTAACCCCTTCTCCCGTTTAAATTACTAAATTTAAAAAGAGAAACTTTTGTTTTTCTTTTTGGGCCACCCTGCCTTGGTGGGATATGGCCAGTTTGTTGAAAGAAGAGGAATATAACATAAAATATCTGGCTGGACAAATGTTCACTGCAACAGACTAGATCTGCTGCATCGAGTTTGTCCGTTAGCAGTACTGCATGTCTGGTAGGATCTTCCTACAGCGGACCATGTCAGAAGCATCAAGTATTTTGATACAAAGGATTTTTGATGAAATAGACATCCCCTCCCCCCATTATTTTATTATACCAAGGTCACCTGTACTGCATATCCTGAAAGCTTCTGGAGTGTTGTAAATAGTAATTTAAGTAGCCCAAGTTTCAAGTACATTATATATAAGAACATTATTCTAAAAGTTAATATGTAATGAAAATCTGAATACATTATACAGTGGAACCTCGGTTTTCGTCAGTAATTCGTTCCAGAAAGTCTGACAAAAACCGAAGTCAAACAAAACTGAAGCAACATTTCCCATAAGAAATAATGTAAATCCAATTAATCCGTTCCAGACACCCAAAATTATTAACAAAAACTACATTTTATAGAGAATAAATATAGTTTTACATACAGAAAGCAATGAGAAATAAATATATAGACTAATGAAATGAATAAATGAACATTTAATATCGCTTTGCAGCTCTTCAGTGGTTAGCTCTTCCCTGTGGTTATCCACCAACTCTTCCACATCCTGGCCACTCACATCCAACCCCATGGACTTCCCCAAAGCCACAACAGATTCCACAACAGGCATAGGTTTGTCAGGGTCAGCCTCAAACCCTTCAAAATCCTTCTCTTGGACACATTCTGGCCACAATTTCTCGCCTTCTTTATCAAAGGGCTGGCACTAGGAACTTTCTTTGGTCCCATGGTGGCTTATTTAGCAGTCGCACTCAATAAACAAGCACAAAAATCAATGGATTATTATGAAATGTTTTGGATGAACGAGCAGGGTAATGCTCACTCGACGAGAAACAAAGCCAGACTGACTCAGAACACGTAAGATGCTTTGTGTGGGCGAGGGCAGGTGGACACGTTCGGTATGGCAGACCAACGAAAACCGAGGTGATGAACAAAAACTGGGACAAAATTTTGACGAAAAAAGTTGTCGAAAACCGAAGTCGATGAAAACCAGGGCAAACGAAAACCGAGGTTCTACTGTAGTATGAAGGTTTTGCATCTCTAAATCATGATACAGGTAAAATAATAATATAATTATTTACAAATAACAATAGAATATATCATTCTCAAATATCAGAAAGGATGAGAATGTTGCAGATGAGATGGTCATCCGAGCTGTAATGTCAGCACAGCAATTGCATGAATGATGGGGAATGAGTTTTTTGGGGGGATTCATGGCTAGTGTATTACAAAAAATTAATAAATATCTTAATTAATCCTGGCTATAGATTGACTCTTACAATTTGGGGGGCAGGGGCACTACGTGACAGAATTGGACGAGTGTTTGAAAACAATAAAAAATCTGTAAAACAGGAGATTAAAACTTCTCCTATTACAAAGCAACATATCAGCATTTACATTTCATTTTGTCATCTCTAATGTTTTATTTAACTGCAAATTGCCAATGATGATGTCAATATTTCCATGAGGCTGGCTAAATATACCTTACATTATTTGCGAAATTTACATTGACAACACTGTTTGACGCTGTTGGGACCACCCACTAGAGCTCTGAAGTCTCAGTGTTGCACCAACCTTGGCAATGGAAGGAGCTCTCTTGGCTCTTGTGGTTTTCAACACTCAGCTTAGAATTTTAATCTTATTTATTAAACTATGACATGAGTTTTGGATATAATGTAGATAACATATACAGTGGACCCTCGGGGAAAGGCTTCATTGGTTAGCGCCAAAATCGAATAACGGCTAGCTTTGGCATCAAAATATTGGCTTGGCTAATGCCAAATAACTCAAATAAGGTGCATTCGTCCCAAACGTGTCCATGCGGCCTGAGCGGGCCCGGCCACTCCACCACTCCATGTACACCCAGTGTGCCATTGTTTACAAAGCTAGCGAGGACGATTCCATACGTACATGCCATATAATTTGTATTATTCCATTGTTTTAGCGCTTGCAACTGCTAAATAAGCCACCATGGGCCCAAAGAAAGTTTCTAGTGGCAGCCCTGTGATAAAGAAGGAAAGAAACACAATAAAATTCAAGAAAAAACTCGTAGCCACATTCCCTGCATGCCTGCTACACTCCCTGCATGCCTGTTACACTCCCTTCATGTCAGCTACACTCCCTGCATGCCTGTTACACTCCCTTCATGTCAGCTACACTCCCTGCATGCCTGGTACACTCCCTTCATGTCAGTTACACTCCCTGCATGTCTGCTACACTCCCTGCATGCCTGCTACACTCCCTGCATGCCTGCTACACTCCCTGCATGCCTGCTACACTCCCTGCATGCCTGTTACACTCCCTGCATGCCTGTTACACTCTCTTCATGTCAGCTACACTCCCTGCATGCCTGTTACACTCCCTTCATGTCAGCTACACTCCCTGCATGCCTGTTACACTCCCTTCATGTCAACTACACTCCCTGCATGCCTGGTACACTCCCTTCATGTCAGTTGCACTCCCTGCATGTCTGCTACACTCCCTGCATGCCTGCTACACTCCCTGCATGCCTGCTACACTCCCTGCATGCCTGCTACACTCCCTGCATGCCTGCTACACTCCATGCATGTCTGCTACACTCCCTGCATGCCTGCTACACTCCCTGCATGCCTGCTACACTCCCTGCATGCCTGTTACACTCCCTTCATGTCAGCTACACTCCCTGCATGTCTGCTACACTCCCTGCATGCCTGCTACACTCCCTGCATGCCTGTTACACTCCCTTCATGTCAGCTACACTCCCTGCATGCCTGGTACACTCCATTCATGTCAGCTACACTCCCTGCATGTCTGCTACACTCCCTGCATGCCTGCTACACTCCCTGCATGCCTGGTACACTCCCTGCATGCCTGGTACACTCCCTGCATGTCTGCTACACTCCATACATGTCTGCTACACTCCCTGCATGTCTGCTACACTCCATGCATGTCTGCTACACTCCATGCATGTCTGCTACACTCCATGCATGTCTGCTACACTCCATGCATGTCTGCTACACTCCATGCATGTCTGCTACACTCCCTGCATGCCTGTTACACTCCCTTCATGTCAGCTACACTCCCTGCATGCCTGGTACACTCCCTTCATGTCAGCTACACTCCCTGCATGTCTGCTACACTCCATACATGTCTGCTACACTCCCTGCATGTCTGCTACACTCCATACATGTCTGCTACACTCCCTGCATGTCTGCTACACTCCCTGCATGCCTGCTACACTCCATGCATGTCTGCTACACTCCATGCATGTCTGCTACACTCTCTGCATGCCTGCTACACTCCCTGCATGCCTGCTACACTCCCTGCATGCCTGCTACACTCCCTGCATGTCAGCTACACTCCCTGCATGCCTGCTACACTCCCTTCATGTCAGCTTCACTCCCTGCAAGCCTGCTACACCCCCTGCATGCCTACTACACTCCCTGCATGTCAGCTACACTCCCTGCATGCCTACTACACTCTGTGCATGCCAGCTACACTCCCTGCATGCCTGATACACTTCCTGCATGCCTGCTACACTCCCTACATGTCAGCTACACTCCCTGCATGCCTGCTACACTCCCTGCATGCCTGCTACACTCCCTACATGTCAGCTACACTCCCTACATGTCAGCTACACTCCCTGCATGCCTGCTACACTCCCTACATGTCAGCTACACTCCCTACATGTCAGCTACACTCCCTGCATGCCTGCTACACTCCCTACATGTCAGCTACACTTCCTGCATGCCTGCTACACTCCCTGCATGCCTGCTACACTCCCTACATGTCAGCTACACTCCCTGCATGTCAGCTACACTTCCTACATGTCAGCTACACTTCCTGCATGCCTGCTACACTCCCTGCATGCCTGCTACACTCCCTACATGTCAGCTACACTCCCTGCAAATCCCAGTGTTCAAGAAAAACAATGTCCCATCTCATCACTCATCAACATGTCCACAATAAAGGTAAGTGTCATTTCAATATTGTTTATTGTGCATGTATCATTGTTTTTTGTGTAGGGAAATGTATATTTCATGTAAAAAAAATGATTTTGTTTAATACTTTTGGGTGTCTGGAACGGATTAACTGGATTTCCATTATTTCTTATGGGGAAAATTAAATCGGCTAAAGGCTAAATCGGTTAAAGGCTAGCTGTCTGGAATGGATTAAAGGCATTACCCAAGGGTCCACTGTAGTTCTAAACTTTTGTTTTTCCTTTTGGGCCACTCTGCCTCAGTGGGATATGGCTAGTTTATTGAAAGAACATATAGTTCAACAATGCTGATTACAACACATCAAAACTGCATGTAGTTTTTGTTTTGATTCTTTTAATACATACAGTGGAACCTTGGTTTTCATTTGCCTTGGTTTTTGTTGAATTCGGTTTTCGACGACTTTTTTCATCAGAATTTTGTCCTAGTTTTTGTTCATCACCTCGGTTTTTGTCGGTCTGCCATACCGAATGTGTCCGCCTGCCCATGCCCACATAAAGCATCCCACACGTTCTGAGTCAGTCTGGCTTTGTTTCTCGTCGAGTGAGCATTACCCTGCTCGTTCATCTGAAACATTTCTCAATAATCCATTGTTTTTTTTTGTGCTTGTTTATTGAATGTGACTGCTAAATAAGCCACCATGGGGCTTTGGGAAAGTCCATGGGGTTGGATGTGAGTGGCCAGGATGTGAAAGAGTTGGTGGATGACCACAGAGAAGAGTTAACCACCGAAGAGTTGCAACACCTTCAACTGGAACAGCAACAGATCGCAGCTGAGGAAATTGTTTCAGAGGAGGAGGAAGAGAAAGGGAAGAATGTGCCTTCTTCAGTGATTAAGGACATGTGTGCAAAGTGGAGTGAGTTGCAAAGTTTTGTGGAGAAATATCACCCTAACAAAGCTGTTGCAAGCCATGTCTGCAACACGTTCAATGACAATGTCTTGTCCCATTTTAGGCAAATCTTAAAGAGATACCAGAAACAGAACCTCTCTGGACAGATTTTTCATACGACAGGGGGTCCAGTGCCAGTAAAAGACAAAGAAGGGAAGTAACCCTGGATAGGGACTTGATACCTGAAATCCTTATGGAGGGGGATTCCCCTTCCAACCAATAACCTCTCCTCTCCCCTCCTCACATCTTCCATACACTAACAAGAGTCTTCAATCAAGGTAAAAGTGATATTAAATGTTCATTTATCCATTTCATTAGTCCTTTATTTCTCAATGCTTTCTTTATGTAAAACTATAGTTATTCTTTATAAAATGTATATTTGTTAATGTACTTTTGGGTGTCTGGAACAGATTAATTGGATTTACATTATTTCTTATGGGAAATATTGCTTCAGTTTTCGTTGAATTCGGTTTTTGTCAGGCTTTCTGGAACGAATTAACGACGAAAACCAAGGTTCCACTGTACTTTAGTTGTTATTTTTTTCCATTTTTAAGACTTTTAACAAAAATTACCATAAATACATAATATAGCATTTTAACATTAAAACATTAATTAGGATATGTTTTAGCAAATATTTTCAGCCAGGACATTCTAAATGTGATGTAAATAAGGTAGACTAGCCCCCAAAATACCACATTTTGAAATAAAATTTTTTTTTACTTAAGTCAATTTGAATGAAATTTGCAGCATACCCCATAGGGGTTATTATAAACATGCATACATATTTTCATAAAGCTGCAGCCATTAGAAGCAGGATTTTTAAATATCTGTTCTTGCTCCTCATGCCTGATCTAGCTAAGTCACATGCACATCATCCAAACAGTAACACCAATTTTCTTTTCTCTAGTACCAAATTTCTTACTCTTTGGATTCCTTCAGTCCTAAGTACTGTATACTAACCACTGTAGAGTTTTCAAGACTTCTGCCACGAGGTAAATATTCTGCTGGTAACTGAAGAGGGTAATTGTTTGTCTGACACCATCCCGTTGGAAACAGATCTTGACTTGTTGATGCTTGAAGTATTGGCCTCAAGTCTAGTGCTGAGTCAAGCTGGACCACCAACAAATGTTCACACGTCTGTTTAACAGTGGCTGCACAAATCTCATTGGGGGCAGAAGGATTTACTGCTTCTAATTTCAACCCAGGTAAGAAGCCAATTTCCTCAGATGATTTAAATTTTGGAAACATGTCACAGTCAGCACATACTGATAAGGATGAATTTAAGTAAATATCCCAGTCAAAATGTTCTTCACTCAACCAATTTTTAGGTGGGTCTAAACTCAAACTATTTTTTTTACAAAATCCAACTGGCAGTATCAATGGATCATTTATTTGTGTAATCCAAGACACTTCCTCTACTTGATTAGAATCAATAGTTATTTTAAAGAAATGAGAATCAATTATTTCAGTTATTCTACCAACATGTATGGAGCATGGTTTGAAAGGATGCACTGTTTCTAATAACATTCCAGGTTTGAACCGATGAACATCTGGAGTAAATGTCGGAGCTAAGAGAGAGACTGGAAGGGACGAGTGCCTTGCATCATCACGACTCAATTCCAAGAGAGCAGCCCATTCTGCATATTCATAAGAAGCCGAAGATCCAGGGTGGCTGTACCTGATTAAAATACAGAGTGAAATTAATTTGTAAAAATATTCTTCCAGTTTCCTTGATTAATCTACGTTTCATTCTATAATTTTTTTTTATTAACACATCGGCCATTTCCCACCAAGGCAGGGTGGCCTGAAAAAGAAAAACTTTCATCATCATTCACTCCATCACTGTCTTGCCAGAGGTGCGCTCACACTACAGTTATTTCATTCTTACTCTTCCTTCTCCCTACACTTTTCTTCTTCCTTCTCTCTATACCTTTTCCAATTCTTTTTCCCTGTGCTTTTCCTTCTTCCTTCTCCCTGCCCTTTTAACTCTTCCTTCTCACCACACTTATTTCTCTTCCTTCTTCCCATACTTTCCATCTTCTCCCAACATTAATTCAGCTGAGACATTCAAGTACAGTATAAATAATTATATTCATTGTTTACTTCCAAGGTAACCCCTGATGATAAATCCAGTCTGGTGGGCGGAGGCGTAGATCCTGATAGAAGAGCCAGAATGTATCACCAGAGCAATCAGGGGTGTCATAGCGTAGGAGAAGGCGTCCACCAACATTATCCATCACAGTTGCTACCCACCCACACAATGGGTTGCCATTAAATAACACCTAAGGATTATAAATGATTTAATTACATGTCTGTTTACTTTAAACGGAGTTCTTAAATGATTATGTATGGTTTTAATGGCATTTTGGCCCTGTAGTGGGATATACCAAGTTAAGGCTCAGTAGCTTTCTTGACATAAATATACCATACATGTTGTCATTAAGGCTTAGTATGTAACAATGGAGGGATAATTTATATACCTGAACAGGTACACAAGGATAACTCAGTGTTTAAAATCAGCTTTACATATATTAACTTTAGAATGTTACTGCTATAAATTATAATTTTTTTTTTTCAACAAGCTGGCTGTATCCCACTGAGGCAGGGTGACCTTAATCCCATGACTGTCACAACCCCAAATCCTGAGGCGTCTCCTGGTGTCACAAAATTTCAGAAAAAAAAAAAAAACATTTCTTATGAAATGATAGAGAATCTTTTTCCCAATTGTAACGACACCAAAAGAACAAAATTTGATGGAAAACTGACGGAATTATGCTCTCGTGAAGTTAGCGACCTCGGCAATATTTATGAATCGGCAATTTTGCCCACTTTGAGCCCTCTTTTTGGCTAATTCCATTGTTCCAGTCGACCAAACTCATAGCTATTTCTTTAGGACTCCATTTTTTCTATCGATTGAGTACAAGAAACTGCCTAATTGCCGATTTCAGCTACCCAATAACGTGGTCAGAAATTTGCAATTTGGCCAATTTCACAAAAATTAAAGCATATGACAATTTCAAAACAGGGTCCAGAATGAACAATGCAGACATTCCTGGCTCTAAAATAACATTTTCTTTATTCATCAGTCACATCTCCAGGCCCCTCTGATACTACTCTTGCTTTCTATTTTGAATTTTTATTCAAACAAAAAATAGTAGATTTACTGTTTACCTGGAGAGAGTTTCGGGGGTCAACGCCCCCGCGGCCCGGTCTGTGACCAGGCCTCCTGGTGGATCAGCGCCTGATCAACCAGGCTGTTGCTGCTGGCTGCACGCAAACCAACGTACGAGCCACAGCCCGGCTGATCAGGAACTGACTTTAGGTGCTTGTCCAGTGCCAGCTTGAAGACTGCCAGGGGTCTGTTGGTAATCCCCCTTATGTGTGCTGGGAGGCAGTTGAACAGTCTCGGGCCCCTGACACTTATTGTATGGTCTCTTAACGTGCTAGTGACACCCCTTCTTTTCATTGGGGGGATGGTGCATCGTCTGCCAAGTCTTTTTGCTTTCGATAGTGAGTGATTTTCGTGTGCAAGTTCGTACTAGTCCCTCTAGGATTTTCCAGGTGATATAATCATGTATCTTCTCCCTCCTGCGTTCCAGGGAATACAGGTTTAGAAACCTCAAGCGCTCCCAGTAATTGAGGTGTTTTTTATCTCCGTTATGCGCGCCGTGAAAGTTCTCTGTACATTTTCTAGGTCGCAATTTTCACCTGCCTTGAAAGGTGCTGTTAGAGTGCAGCAATATTCCAGCCTAGATAGAACAAGTGACCTGAAGAGTGTCATCATGGCTTGGCCTCCCTAGTTTTGAAGGTTCTCATTATCCATCCTGTCATTTTTCTAGCAGATGCGATTGATACAATGTTATGGTCCTTGAAGTGAAGATCCTCCGACATAAATCACTCCCAGGTCTTTGACGTTGGTGTTTCGCTCTATTTTGTGGCCAGAATTTGTTTTGTACTCTGATGAAGATTTAATTTCCTCATGTTTACCATATCTGAGTAATTGAAATTTCTCATCGTTGAACTTCATATTGTTTTCTGCAGCCCACTGAAAGATTGGTTGATGTCCGCCTGGAGCCTTGCAGTGTCTGCAATGGAAGACACTGTCATGCAGATTCGGGTGTCATCTGCAAAGGAAGACACGGTGCTGTGGCTGACATCCTTGTCTATGTCGGATATGAGGATGAGGAACAAGATGGGAGCTAGTACTGTGCCTTGTGGAACAGAGCTTTTCACCGTAGCTGCCTCGGACTTTACTCTGTTGACGACTACTCTCTGTGTTCTGTTAGTGAGGAAATTATAGATCCATCGACCGACTTTCCCTGTTATTCCTTTAGCGCGCATTTTGTGCGCTATTACGCCATGGTCACACTTGTCGAAGGCTTTTGCAAAGTCTGTATATATTACATCTGCATTCTTTTTGTCTTCTAGTGCATTTAGGACCTTGTCGTAGTGATCCAGTAGTTGAGACAGACAGGAGCGACCTGTTCTAAACCCATGTTGCCCTGGGTTGTGTAACTGATGGGTTTCTAGATGGGTGGTGATCTTGCTTCTTAGGACCCTTTCAAAGATTTTTATGATATGGGATGTTAGTGCTATTGGTCTGTAGTTCTTTGCTGTTGCTTTACTGCCCCCTTTGTGGAGTGGGGCTATGTCTGTTGTTTTTAGTAACTGAGGGACGACCCCCGTGTCCATGCTCCCTCTCCATAGGATGGAAAAGGCTCGCGATAGGGGCCTCTTGCAGTTCTTGATGAACACAGAGTTCCATGAGTCTGGCCCTGGGGCAGAGTGCATGGGCATGTCATTTATCGCCTGTTATGTAGACTACTGCAATATTGTAATAATTGTATAAATAATGTCAACCCATTCATGACTGCATATTAGAATGGCTACTTGGACATTTATTGAAAAATACATCATTTGTTTACTTTTGAACATCGGCAAAAATCAAACATTTCCCCTACTTTGAGCTCCATTTCAAGTTTTTTTCATAGTAAAACCAATCAAAATCACCTCTATTTTAAAATGTGTTTTCCATTCTATCAAATGAGACCAAGAAAACAAGAATACAACCATAAATACTATACGAAAATAGACCACAAAGTCGGCATTTTAATTAAAAAACAAAAAACGGTCGGAGTCTTTTTTTCTCATTATGCACTGTGTGCTGCAGGATTTTTTTTTATATGGTGCACACTGACCACACAGACCCATTCTCTCACATGTGGGCCTACCAGCTTTCTTCTGCTTGATATGACGCTGCTAGAATTTATGAGTATATATATGTCAAAAACAGTGGTTCGTAAGACGTATATGTACGACCGAAACAGTCAAAGGGTTAAAAAGATAAACCAAAGTTTTTCTTTTTAAATTTAGTAATTCACACAGGAGAAGGGGTTATTAGCACCTTGCTCTCTGCATTTTAGTCACCTCTTACGACATACATGGTTTACAGGGGAAGAATTCTATTCCACTTTCCCATGGTGATCAGGAGAAATAAAGAACAAGAACTATTAAGAAAACAGAAAAAAAACATGTGTTGAAAAATATATTTATACAGCCTCTCCTCACTTAATGATAGAGTTTCGTTCCTAAGACCACTTCAATAAATGAATTCATCGTTAAGTGAGGAGCATACTATAATGGTAGTGGGTTTGTGTCAACCATCTTTGACAATGTTTTAATATCAGCTTTCCACCAGTTATAACATTTCTGATATATTTTTAAATGTTTAAACAGTAGTATACTGTATATTGTAATAAACAGAATAGAGGAAATCGGCTCTAATGTACATTATTTAGGTATGTATGTACAGTATACTGGTCAGAGAGCCCGTCATAAGTTCGAGTCATCGGTAAATGAGTACATCGCTAAGTGAGGAGAGGCTATGTATGCATGTACATGCATATGTAGTGTAACCAAAGTGTATGTAGAAGTAGCAAGATATACCTGCTATCTTGTGTCTAAGAGACAGGAAAAAGACACCAGCAATCCTACCATCATGTAAAACAATTACAGGTTTCTGTTCAACAATCATTAAATTGTATTACTGTATTATATTCATTTAGGTAGTAGGTTGGTAGACAGCAACCACTCAGAGAGGTACATGTACTACCATTCTGCCAAGTGAGTGTGAAATGGAAACCTGTAATTGTTTACATGATGGTAAGATTGCTGGTGTCTTTCTTCTGTCTCATTAACACACTGGATAACAGGTACATCTTGCTACTTCTACTTACACTTAGGTCATACTACACATATATGCACATGTATGTATATCCTTACCCACCTGGGTTTTCTTCTATTTTTTAATAGTTCTTTCTTTCTTTCAACACACCAGCCATATCCCACCGAGGCGGGGTGGCCCAAAAGGAAAAACGAAAGTTTCTCCTTTTACATTTAGTAATATATACAGGAGAAGGGGTTACTAGCCCCTTGCTCCCGGCATTTTAGTCGCCTCTTACGACACGCATGGCTTACAGAGGAAGAATTCTGTTCCACTTCCCCATGGAGATAAGAGGAAATAAACAAGAACAAGAACTAGAAAGAAAATAGAAGAAAACCCAGAGGGGTATGTATGTATATATATGCTTGTACATGTATGTGTAGTGTGACCTAAGTGTAAGTAGAAGTAGCAAGACATAACTGAAACCTTGCATGTTCATGAGACAGAAAAATAGACACCAGCAATCCTACCATCATGTAAAACACTTACAGGCTTTCGTTTTACACTCACTTGGCAGGATGGTAGTACCTCCCTGGGTGGTTGCTGTCTACCAGCCTACTACCTAGTTTAATAGTTCTTGTTCTTGTTTATTTCCTCTTACCTCCATGGGGAAGTGGAAAAGAATTCTTATTCCATAAGGGATGCATGTCATAAGAGGCAACTAAAATGTCAGGAGCAAGGGGCTAGTAACCCCTTCTCCCGTATACATTACTAAATTTAAAAAGAGAAACTTTACTTTTATGTTTTTAGGTCACCCTGCTTCAGTGGGATACGTCTGTTTCATTAAAACAAAATATATGAGAAAAACCAAGAGATGATTCATACTTCCACTTTCATTCCTTGCTTGATGCGGTCCACTGCAGTATAGCCCTCAACATCAAGTGCCTCTTCTGGTACTGATGTACCTTCCTTTTGAGCTTGCTCTACTGCCTCTTTGGCCTCTTTTATGCTTTCATCATTTAACAAAACTGAAGCAAGGTCAGTTGGTAAAGACAAATTCATGTTATGATGACTGCACCAGCCTACAGGGTGGAGATTCCTATTTGCAATCTCATGCCAGCATTCTACAGTGACTGAACTCTGAGTTATATATCGCAATCTGCAAGAAATAAAAAATAATGAACATATTTTACATACGTATAGACTACTATATAAGCTCAGCCTAAACTTATTCATCTGTTAGTTCATGAGTTTTCTAGTCATCTGAAAAATATACTATTTGAACAAAGACCTATACATGCATATGTGAAACTGGAAGCAGATATACACACAAATGTAGAATTGTTACAAATGATATATAATACTAACAAAATGAAGAGAAAGACACATGTCTTGCACTTCAAATGTATACTGGGTCTAGATGAAGAGCAAGAATAATAAATCAATGAATGGAAATTATGAGGAATTTTTGCTTCTGAATATCAGGTTTTGTTTTAACATGTCGGCCGTCTTCCAACAAGGCAGGGTGATCCAAAAAAGAAACACTTTCACCATCATTCACACATAATTACTGTTTCTGCAGAGGTGCCCAGATATGACAGTATATATTAAACACAGTATGACTTAATTTTTTAATGGGCCAAGAGTACCATATGTTGTCCAATACTTTGTGTCTATATTACCTTAACAGTGGCCCACATGTGGTAACAACTTTTGCCAACCAATATTCATTTCCCTGTTGTTCAGGTGCAGAGTGAACCACTTCTACCAGATGATCCTCTAATACTCCAGATTCTAAACTCTTCTCCACCTGAAATTTTATCAACATTTTATCATATATATAATGCAGATAGAAATGTTATCTTAATAATACAGTGGTCCCTCAATAATCGTCCGGCCTGAAAGTCGTCCATTTCGGAAATAGTTCCGTTATTTCATCTAAACATTGGCTTGCAAATGGTCCGTTAACTCGCTAATCGTCCTTTGTCCGGGACGTGTACTCATGCTCTGAGCCGCCTGGGCCTGCCTTCCCAGCCAGTGTGCCATTGTTTACCGGTGAGCGACGGTCCCCTTACATGCTCCTACAAAATATTTCGTAATCCATTGATTTTAGTGCTTGCAAGTGCTAAATAAGCTACCATGGTTCCAAAGAAAGCTTCTAGTGCCAGCCCTTTGGTAAAGAATATGAGAAACATATAATTTATGAAAAAGTTTGTAAAAAAATACAAAGGTGGTGGTGGTAGAGTGGAAGCAGTTGTGATAGTGGTTGATGGTGGTAGAAGGTAGTAGTGATGGTGGTAACAGTTGTAAGTGGTAGGTCATAGTGATGGTGGTAGAGGGTTCCTTCTTTAGTGATTCAGCAATTCTACCAACTCCTCCAATGTTGTTGGAGTTATATAGTTATATAGAGTTACTCCTATCTTCAAGAAAAATAATAGGTCTGATGTAAGCAACTATAGACCTGTTAGTATACTCAGTATAATATCTAAAATTCTGGAGAGGGCGGTGTATTCTCAAGTAGTTAAGTACCTTAATGACAACAGCATTCTCCATAGCTATCAATCGGGCTTTAGAAGATCCTACTCAACCGATACCTCCCTTATTAATCTGATGGATTACCTGAGAACTGAAATGTCAAAAGGGAACCTCATAGGTATGGTAACCTTAGACCTGCAAAAGGCCTTCGATACTGTCAACCACAATATATTATGTAAGAAACTTCAAGCTATCGGTATAGGTTCTGTAGACTGGTTTAAGTCCTACCTTAGCAACAGGAGACAAATAGTCAAAATCAACAAAACGGAATCAGAACCCCTGCCGATAACATGTGGAGTTCCCCAAGGTAGTATTCTGGGTCCCTTACTATTCTTATGTTATGTCAATGATATGCCTATCAGTGTCAAGTGCAAACTCCTACTGTATGCAGATGACAGTGCTCTGTTAGTGACAGGTAAAGACCCACAAGATATTGCTAATGTTTTAACACTGGAACTGGAGTCCTGCAGCAAATGGTTAGTAGACAACAAACTATCATTACACCTAGGGAAAACTGAAGCCATTCTCTTTGGAACGAAACATAAACTGAGAAGGGTAAATAATTTTAATGTTCAGTGTAATGGGGAGTCCATCACTTTGGTTTCATCTTGTTCCTCATCCTCATATCCGACATAGACAAGGATGTCAGCCACAGCACCGTGTTTTCCTTTGCAGATGACACCCGAATCTGCATGACAGTGTCTTCCATTGCAGACACTGCAAGGCTCCAGGCGGACATCAACCAAATCTTTCAGTGGGCTGCGGAAAACAATATGAAGTTCAACGATGAGAAATTTCAATTACTCAGATATGGTAAACATGAGGAAATTAAATCTTCATCAGAGTACAAAACAAATTCTGGCACAAAATAGAGCGAAACACCAACGTCAAAGACCTGGGAGTGATCATGTCGGAGGATCTCCACCTTCAAGGACCATAACATTGTATCAATCGCATCTGCTAGAAAAATGACAGGATGGATAATGAGACCTTCAAAACTAGGGAGGCCAAGCCCATGATGACACTCTTCAGGTCACTTGTTCTATCTAGGCTGGAATATTGCTGCACTCTAACAACACCTTTCAAGGCAGGTGAAATTGCCGACCTAGAAAATGTACAGAGAACTTTCACGGCGCGCATAACGGAGATAAAACACCTCAATTACTGGGAGCGCTTGAGGTTTCTAAACCTGTATTCCCTGGAACGCAGGAGGAGAGATACATGATTATATACACCTGGAAAATCCTAGATGGACTAGTACCGAACTTGCACACGAAAAAACACTCACTACGAAAGCAAAAGACTTGGCAGACGATGCACCATCCCCCCAATGAAAAGCAGGGGTGTCACTAGCACGTTAAGAGACCATACAATAAGTGTCAGGGGCCCGAGACTGTTCAACTGCCTCCCAGCACACATAAGGGGGATTACCAACAGACCCCTGGCAGTCTTCAAGCTGGCACTGGACAAGCACCTAAAGTCAGTTCCTGATCAGCCGGGCTGTGGCTCGTACATTGGTTTGCGTGCAGCCAGCAGCAACAGCCTGGTTGATCAGGGGCTGATCCACCAGGAGGCCTGGTCACAGACCGGGCCGCGGGGGCGTTGACCCCCGAAACTCTCTCCAGGTAAACTCCAGTTAAATATCTGGGAATCCCCTTTGACCCATGCATGTCAGGAGAATTGATAGGGAACAGTGTAGTAAAGAAAGCGAATGCCAGGCTGAAGTTCCTGTATAGACAAGCACAGTGTCTACCTACTGAGGCTCGCAGGACCCTATGTCTAGCCCTTATATAATGCCATATGGATTACGCTTGCTCTTCTTGGTACTCTGCCTTGACAAAAAAAACTGAAAGATAGACTGCAAATCACCCAGAACAAAATCGTAAGATTCATCCTGGGGCTGGGACCAAGAGAACATGTAGGCCAGGATGAATTACAGCAGTTGGATATGCTGAATGTTGAAGACAGAGTAAAACAACTAAAGCTAAATCATGTTTATAAAATTTCTCACGAACAGTGTCCAGAATATCTTGCTGTCAATTTTGTCAAGGTTGGGAACCAAAGCAATCATAGTACTAGGGGGAGAGAGCACAACTTTGTAGTACCCACAGTCAGTGGCCAGGCTTCAAACACCTTTTATTGTACAGCAATAAAGGAATGGAACAGACTACCCACAAATGTCAAGGCCAGTCATAGCTTGAACCAGTTCAAGAAGACTGCCAAAAAGTGTCTGATGAATGAAGCAACAGAAAGGGAGGGGAATGATTTTCTATTTTTTAGCTAAAATACGTGTAAATTTTACCTTATCCCTAGTAATGACCCTCGTATTGTAGATAGTCGTAATGACCCTCGGGTAGTAGATAGTCTTAATGACCCTCGTATTGTAGATAGTCTTAATGACCCTCGTGTAGTAGATAGTCTTTTTAGTATGATAATAAGATGTTATCTTCATTATAGAATAATAAGAAAATATTATAACCTTTATATTATAATAATAAGGTAAAAGGACCCCAATGGAAATAAGTCACTCTGTCTGACTTTTTTGGGTTATCCTAGGTTCTCTACACATATGCTGCTATGTATGATAATTCTATGTAACTGTATTGTGTATACCTGAATAAATTTACTTACTTACTTACTTACTTACTTAGAAAAACACCACCGCCTCAGCTGCTGCTTCACCATCATTATGGACGGCTTACTCTCAGTGGCCCTTATATACCCAACAACAACACAACACAACACCTCTGTGACATATGTAATGACTTATTGTATTCATTCTAGAGTATATTCCATGTTTCTATGTTATTAATATTGTTTATTATGTCATATTAGTTGAATGAGAGAGTGGGTGAGATGTTATCAACAAATTTTGTTGAAAATAAGAAAAAGTTTTGGAGTGAGATTAACAAGTTAAGAAAGCCTAGAGAACAAATGGATTTGTCAGTTAAAAATAGGAGAGGAGAGTTATTAAATGGAGAGTTAGAGGTATTGGGAAGATGGAGGGAATATTTTGAGGAATTGTTAAATGTTGATGAAGATAGGGAAGCTGTGATTTCGTGTATAGGGCAAGGAGGAATAACATCTTGTAGGAGTGAGGAAGAGCCAGCTGTGGGTGTGGGGGAAGTTCGTGAGGCAGTAGGTAAAATGAAAGGCGGTAAGGCAGCTGGGATTGATGGGATAAAGATAGAAATGTTAAAAGCAGGTGGGGATATAGTTTTGGAGTGGTTGGTGCAATTATTTAATAAATGTATGGAAGAGGGTAAGGTACCTAGGGATTGGCAGAGAGCATGCATAGTTCCTTTGTATAAAGGCAAAGGGGATAAAAGAGAGTGCAAAAATTATAGGGGGATAAGTCTGTTGAGTATACCTGGTAAAGTGTATGGTAGAGTTATTATTGAAAGAATTAAGAGTAAGACGGAAAAATAGGATAGCAGATGAACAAGGAGGCTTTAGGAAAGGTAGGGGGTGTGTGGACCAGGTGTTTACAGTGAAACATATAAGTGAACAGTATTTAGATAAGGCTAAAGAGGTCTTTGTGGCATTTATGGATTTGGAAAAGGCGTATGACAGGGTGGATAGGGGGGCAATGTGGCAGATGTTGCAAGTGTATGGTGTAGGAGGTAGGTTACTGAAAGCAGTGAAGAGTTTTTTACGAGGATAGTGAGGCTCAAGTTTGAGTATGTAGGAAAGAGGGAAATTTTTTCCCAGTAAAAGTAGGCCTTAGACAAGGATGTGTGATGTCACCGTGGTTGTTTAATATATTTATAGATGGGGTTGTAAGAGAAGTAAATGCGAGGGTCTTGGCAAGAGGCGTGGAGTTAAAAGATAAAGAATCACACACAAAGTGGGAGTTGTCACAGCTGCTCTTTGCTGATGACACTGTGCTCTTGGGAGATTCTGAAGAGAAGTTGCAGAGATTGGTGGATGAATTTGGTAGGGTGTGCAAAAGAAGAAAATTAAAGGTGAATACAGGAAAGAGTAAGGTTATGAGGATAACAAAAAGATTAGGTGATGAAAGATTGAATATCAGATTGGAGGGAGAGAGTATGGAGGAGGTGAACGTATTCAGATATTGGGAGTGGACGTGTCAGCAGATGGGTCTATGAAAGATGAGGTGAATCATAGAATTGATGAGGGAAAAAGAGTGAGTGGTGCACTTAGGAGTCTGTGGAGACAAAGAACTTTGTCCTGGAGGCAAAGAGGGAATGTATGAGAGTATAGTTTTACCAACGCTCTTATATGGGTGTGAAGCATGGGTGATGAATGTTGCAGCGAGGAGAAGGCTGGAGGCAGTGGAGATGTCATGTCTGAGGGCAATGTGTGGTGTGAATATAATGCAGAGAATTCGTAGTTTGGAAGTTAGGAGGAGGTGCGGGATTACCAAAACTGTTGTCCAGAGGGCTGAGGAAGGGTTGTTGAGGTGGTTCAGACATGTAGAGAGAATGGAGCGAAACAGAATGACTTCAAGAGTGTATCAGTCTGTAGTGGAAGGAAGGCGGGGTAGGGGTCGGCCTAGGAAAGGTTGGAGGGAGGGGGTATAAAGGAGGTTTTTGTGTGCGAGGGGCTTGGACTTCCAGCAGGCATGCGTGAGCGTGTTTGATAGGAGTGAATGGAGACAAATGGTTTTTTAATACTTGACGTGCTGTTGGAGTGTGAGCAAAGTAACATTTATGAAGGGATTCAGGGAAACCGGCAGGCCGGACTTGAGTCCTGGAGATGGGAAGTACAGTGCCTGCACTCTGAAGGAGGGGTGTTAATGTTGCAGTTTAAAAACTGTAGTGTAAAGCACCCTTCTGGCAAGACAGTGATGGAGTGAATGATGGTGAAAGTTTTTCTTTTTTGGCCACCCTGCCTTGGTGGGAATCGGCCAGTGTGATAATAAAAAATAAAATGATAGATAAATAAGCCGCAGAGTTGATATTAGTGTCATATTCTCCAACAATAAACTTGCCATCCCTTCCTCACACAAACAAGTCTTCAATAAGAACATAAGAAAGGAGGAACACTGCAGTAGGCCTGTTGGCCTACTGCAGTGAACATCACAATGGAAGAACACTGTAGGTCTACTGGCCCATACAGGGCAGGTCCTTTACAATCCTTCCCACTAAGAACATCACAATGGAAGAACACTGCAGGTCTACTGGCCCATACAAGGCAGGTCCTTATCAAAATGACCTCTACCCAAAGCTATCCAAGAATTTACTCCCGTACCCAATGACACAAATCAAACTCAGCTCCTCCCACTCATATATTTGTCCAATCTCTTCTTAAAGCTACCCAAGGTCCTAGTCTCGATCACCCTACTGGTAAGTGTGATGCTAAATAAGAACATAAGAACTTAAGAAAGTAGGAACACTGCAACAGGCCTGCTGGCTCATACTAGTCCGGTCCTTCACAAATCCAACCCACTAACAGAACAAATGCTACCCAAGCAATAACCTCAGGTACAAGTCCGACTCAAATCCAACCCCTTTCACTCGTGTATTTATCCAACCTAAATTTGAAACTACCCAAGCCATAGCTTTTAGAACATAAGAAAGGAGGAACACTGCAATAAGCCTGTTGGCCCATACTAGGCAGGTCCTTCACAAATCCAACCCACTAACAGAACAAATGCTACCCAAGCAATAAGCTCAGGTGCAAATCCAACTCAAATCCAACCCCTCTCACTCATGTATTTATCCAACCTAAATTTGAAACTTCCCAATGTTTTAGCTTCGATCACCCTACTAGGAAGACCGTTCCACTCATCAACTACCCCTATTACCAATGTTCATTTATACATTTTATTAGTACCCTAGAGTCCTTATGGAGGGGGATTCCCCTTCCAAATAATCTATCTTCCCTCTCTCCTCCTCCCTGTCTTCCATTCATCAACAACAGCCTTCAATAAAGGTAACTGTCAAATTGAATGTCCATTCTTTTGTGCATGTAAATCTATCTTTTAGGTAAATAAAAAAATTTTTTCTTGATACTTCTGGGTGTCTGGAACGAATTAATTGGATTTAATTATTTCTTATGGGGAAAATTGACTCGAAAATCATCCATTTCGATAATAATCCCACTTCCAGGAACAGATTAAGGACGATAATTGAGGGACCACTGTACAAACATTCCATTTTAAAAGTATGGTAAAAAAAAAAAGATTAAGCAAATATAATATAATACCATATGTTTTTCATATATACATATTTTTTTTTTCAACAAGTTGGCCGTCTCCCACCGAGGCAGGGTGACCCAAAAAGAAAGAAAATCCCCAAAAAGAAAATACTTTCATCATCATTCAACACTTTCACCTCACTCACACATAACCACTGTTTGTGCAGAGGTGCTCAGAACACAACAGTTTAGAAGCATATACGTATAAAGATACATAAGAACATAAGAAAGGAGGAACACTGCAGGAGGCCTGTTGGCCCATACTAGGCATACACAACATATCCCTCCAAACTGCTAATATCCCAAAACCCCTCCTTTAGAGTGCAGGCATTGTACTTCCCATTTCCAGGACTCAAGTCCGGCTATATAAAAATAACCGGTTTCCCTGAATCCCTTCACTAAAAATTACCCTGCTCACACTCCAACAGATCGTCAGGTCCCAAATACCATTCGTCTCCATTCACTCCTATCAAACATGCTCATGCACGCCTGCTGGAAGTCCAAGCCCCTCACCCACAAAACCTCCCTTACCCCTTCCTTCCAACCTTTTCAAGGATGACCCCTACCCTGCATTCCTTCTCCTACAGATTTAAATGCTCTCCATGTCATTCTACTTTGATCCATTCTCTCTAAATGACCAAACCACCTCAACAACCCCTCTTCAGCCCTCTGACTAATACTTTTATTAACTCCACACCTTCTCCTAATTTCCACACTCTGAATTTTCTGCATAATATTTACCCCACACATTGCCCTTAGACAGGACATCACTGCCTCCAATCGCCTCCTCGCTGCTGCATTCACAACCCAAGCTTCACACCCATATAAGAGTGTTGGTACTACTATACTTTCATACATTCCCTTCTTTGCCTCCAAAGATAATGTTTTTTTGACTCCACATATACTTCAACGCACCACTCACCTTTTTTCCTTCATCAATTCTATGATTAACCTCATCCTTCATAAATCCACCCGCCGACACGTCAACTCCCAAGTATCTGAAAACATTCACTTCTTCCATACTCCTCCTCCCCAATTTGATATCCAATTTTCCTTTATCTAAATCATTTGATACCCTCATCACCTTACTCTTTTCTATGTTCACTTTCAACTTTCTACCTTTACACACACTCCCAAACTCATCCACTAACCTTTACAATTTTTCTTTAGAATCTCCCGTAAGCACGGTATCATCTGCAAAAAGTAACTGTCAATTCCCATCAAATACAAAATGGGAATTGACACAGTTACTTTTTGCTGATGATACTGTGCTTATGGGAGATTCTAAAGAAAAATTGCAAAGGTTAGTGGATGAGTTTGGGAGTGTGTGTAAAGGTAGAAAGTTGAAAGTGAACACAGAAAAGAGTAAGGTGATGAGGGTATCAAATGATTTAGATAAAGAAAAATTGGATATCAAATTGGGGAGGAGGAGTATGGAGGAAGTGAATGTTTTCAGATACTTGTGAGTTGACGTGTCGGTGGATGGATTTATGAAGGATGAGGTTAATCATAGAACTGATGAAGAAAAAAAGGTGAGTGGTGCATTGATGTATATGTGGAGTCAAAAAACGTTATCTATGGAGGCAAAGAAGGGAATGTATGAAAGTATAGTAGTACCAACACTTTTATATGTATTATAAAATATGTATTATAAAATATATTATATGTATTATATTAAGTCATATGTGGTTGAGATATTATCCTTATGTAGTAATATTGTACAAATTAAACAAAAATGTGTTGCCAAAACTGATAAAAAATGATCTACCCTCAAAAGTACAAATAATTAGGATCTATCACAAAAGTCCAAAAATAATGGTCCATCATAAAAATAAAAAAAGAAAAATAGAATCTGTCACAAAAGTATTACCAAGAAGTTATAAAACAAGAAAAGCTAAAAACAGTATCATATTCTCTAAAACTGTATCTAATCAAAATACTGTATGTCATTTGGTGTGGCAGTGTTGACAGTTATTCTGTAACATACATAATAAAATTTAGATGATGTACTGTCAAGATCCTGACCACAAATTTTGTTTTTATCAATTTGAAGTTTAAGTAGAGAAAATATACATAGTTCAGAAAGAGAATAAATAATTAAGCAGTAACAGATTTAATTTTAAATTTTATCAACATGTATGAAGTACTGTATATGTGATCTGAAGCATTACTGTATTAAAAACTATAGAATTTCAATGATACTTACATGCTGAAATGCTGTGGGAGGAACTGCCTCAGTTTGTGTCTCCTCTAAGTATTCTTCCCATACAAATTCATCTTCTGAAAAATTCATACTTAAAATAACATCTAATTAATTTATTAGGTTGTATTCCAAGTAAAAAAAAATCTCACCACATCCTGACCACAGCTGCCTCTCTTGTATCAGTGATGATATTTTGTCAAATTACCACTGTGTGATAAATGGTTTTGAAAACCGACAAGTTGAAGAATTGAGACACTTATGCAACACATGGGAATCTTTATTGAAGAAACGTTTCGCCACACAGTGGCTTCATCAGTCCAATACAAAGTAGAAATGGGTAAGGAGAGGAGAAGTATGAAGTAATCATACTTCTACTCTCCTTACCCATTTCTACTTTGTATTGGACTGATGAAGCCACTGTGTGGCGAAACGTTTCTTCAATAAAGATTCCCATGTGTTGCATAAGTGTCTCAATTCCCCAAATTACCACTGTTAATAAGGTTCATTATGGATGATAAGCCAACTAAGATGATTTGGCAACAACACTTAGTTCAGTTTTTTACATCCACTAGTAACTGGCATGAATTCTTAATACAGTCATGTGCATGCAGTAGTGACTGGGAACATGAGTGTTAAATAATTAGTGGATTGTGTTCAGGACAGAATGTTGCACTAATAGCTCCAAGTGTTGTTATCAAGTGGTCTATATAATTATGAGGTTTTATATATGGTATAAACCAAGCTGTTAACCCATCTTTGTAACATATATATGGCATAAACCAAGCTGTTAACCCATCTTTGTAACATATATATGGTATAAACCAAGCTGTTAACCCATCTTTGTAACATTCTTGTTTTTTCTTGGAATATAATATCTTCATTTAACTGAGATTCCTGTATTATTTGTTGAACTCAATCTTATGTAATAAATACAAACATTGTTTGTATATTTCTTAGAAGCTGGTTATCTGTTCATCCCATATACTTCAGATAGTAAGAGGTTCCTGAAACCAGGCTCCAGTACCCAGGTCAGGTTCAGAACAAGTGACTACAATACTGTAATACATACAAGATTTCAAGAGATCATACAAGTAGGTGTCACTAATTACTATAAAGTATATGCATACAGCTAACAAAGAGTCTCAGCTACTGTTGTATACTGAACAAGGATACTGCACAGGCTATTCACCCATTAATTCTTGCCAAAAAAAACAAAATGAAATATTAACACTATATTAATGAGTGTGTGCATGGGGAGTTTTCAACCAAGTAAGAGTATTTGTGGTTGGGAATCTTAAGGCTACTAGAGATGGTGGCTTACAAGTACATTTAGGTAGTCAATGATCTTTGTTGTAACTCCAGATAAGTTAATAAATCCTCTAACCTGGAGCAGAATGAACAACTAAATCTTGTGTTATGAAGTTTTCTGTAGATTCAACTTCCTGGACAGTCGATACTTCAGTTTCAAGTTCCACTGGTGGGGATGAGTACACCTCTTCATCTTCCATATCTGATGTTATCTTTGCCTGTATAAAGCAGATGCAAAATAACTGTTTCAAGACTCTGAAACTGACTTTAAAAACATTACTGTGGCTTGTAATAATGCATTTCAGTTATATTAGTACTATACATAAAATTACTACTGCTTAAGAACAATTATACCCTTTAAGGTAAAGGGCTTTTGATCCATGGAATTGGAGATACCCTCCATAGCCTTGAATCAAACCTGACTGCCTCCCTTTTCCAAGGTGCTTTATGACCACTACTGGTTTAGTTTTTCTCATAAATATTATAACACTGTATTTAGAACCATCACAATTTAAGCTATCGGTACATCAATTCAAATGTGTAAACATGGCTTTTCATAAAATATTTTTAACATCTGGCTTATTTTTTCTGTGAACACAGTCAAAAAATTAGATGCTAGTGAGAAAAGGCTGAAACCCATTTTTCTCAAATATAGGGCTTATATTTGTGGGAATAAACTCAGCAGCTGAGACTCAACCCAATTCATGGAAAATTGTGTATTCCATTATAACTCCACCCCGTCACAGACTACTATTACATGTTTCATATTCTTTTTATTAACACATCAGTTGTTTCCCACCAAGGAAGGGTGACCCCAAAAAAAAAAAAACAACTTTCATTATCATCATTCAATCCATCATTGTCTTGCCAGAGGCACACCTACACTACAGTTAAAAAAAACTTTAACATATCAACACCCCTCCTTCAGAGTGAAGGCAACATATTTCCCACCTCCAGGATTTGAGTCCTGCTAACCGGTTTCCCTGAATCTCTTCATAAATGTTACTTTGCTTATACTCCAACAGCACATCAAGTCATAAAAAACATTTGTATTCACTCACTCCTATCTAACATGCTCAAGCACACTTGCTGGAAGTCCAAGCCCCTTGCACACAAAACCTCCTTTACCCTCTCCTCCAACCTTTCCTAAGACAAACCCTACCCCACCTTCCTTCCATTACAGTTTTATATGCCCTCTAAGTCATTCAGTTTTGTTATATCCTCTCTAAATGTCCAAACCATCTCCTCAGCCCTCTGGATAATACCTTTAAAAACCCCGAACCACCTTCTAATCTCCAAGCTACAGTCTCTGGATTATATTCACATCACACATTGCCCTCAGACATGGCAGCTCAACTGCCTCCAGCCTCCTCCTCACTGCAGCATTCACCACCCATGCTTTGCACCCATATAAGAAGGTTAGTACAGATTGGCCATCACTAATCTGGCAATCAGTTATTCAGTTCCATCAGTAATCCGGCACTAATTTCGGCTAGCATAATTTCAAATTTCATCATTATACTGACTCAGAAATTGTGGATGGTTGTAAATCCACAGCAGCAAGCCAGTGGAGGAGAAAGCAGTAATGAAAATGAGGAAGATGTAGCAGAAAGTCTCTATTGATAGGTTAATTAAGTGTATTCTAACCTCCTCAGTGCACCACTTGCCTTTTTTTTTCCCCTTTTATTTTCACCTCCTCTTTCATAGATCCATTTGCTGGCAAATCCACTCCCAATATATCTGAAAACATTCACTTCTTCCATACTCCCTCACTCCAATCTGATATTCAATTTTTCATTGCACAAATTTGCTGTTATCCTCATCAACTTGCTCTTTCCTTTGTTCACTTTTAATTTACTTTTGCATACCCTACCAAACTCATTTACCAACCTCTGCAACTTCTCTTCAGAATCTCCCAAAAGCACAGTGTCACCAGCAAAAAGCAACTGTGACAACTCCTATTCTGAGTTAGATTTTTTTCTTAATCCCACGAGCATTCACTCCTCTTACAACCCAATGTATAAATATACTGAGCAACCATGGTGACATCACACATCCCTGTCTAAGCCCTACTTTTACTAGGAAATAATCTCCCTCTGTCCTACATACTCTAACCTGAGCTTCACTATCCTTGTAAAAACTCTTAACTGCTTTTAATAACCTACCACCTATTCCATACATTTACAACATATTGCAAATGTAAACTATTATCTATTGTTAGGTTTTAAAATCTAGGTTGCAGAAGCAGAAATTACTTTTATAATTTGATTATTATTATTATAATCAAAAAGATATAATTTGATTAGATTATTATTATAAAAAAAAAAAAAAAAAAAAAAAGCGCTAAGCCACAAGGGCTATACAGCCCTGTCCTAAGCTGTCTGGGAATTAGCGTGGGGTGTTATCGAGCACCATGGCTTGCTGTAGTGCTTTAGAATCTCAGGGTAAAGTGTTGAAGAAGGAGGTTCTACTTCTTCAGGAGGAAAATAGGAGGCTGAAGCTTCACCTAGATGGGTTCGGGAGTGAGTGTGAGATGGTTGGAGCTGGTAAGGAGGAAAAGGTTACTAACAGTGAGTTGGAGAGTGGCAGCTCCTTTAACCCTTTGAGGGTCGACAGGCCCTCTCCGAGACTCGTTCTCAGGGTCGGCCAAATTTAAAAAAAAAAAAAATAATTTTTTCTTATGAAAAGATAGAGAATCTTTTCCCGATCATAATGACACCAAAATTATGAAATTTGATGGAAAACTTACGGAATTATGCTCTCGCGAAGTTAGCGGTCTCGGCGATTTTTACGCATCGGTGATTTTGCCCACTTTGAGCCCCATTTTCGGCCAATTCCACTGCACTAGTCGACAAAAAACATGAATATTTCGCTAGAACTCCATTTTTTCTATCGAATGAGTGCAAGAAACCACCCATTTACCAATTTCAACTATCCAGTACAGTGGTCAGAATTTAGCAATTTTGCCAATTTCACACAAATTTCAAAAGATGCCAATTTCCGAATAGGGTCCAGAATAAACAAGAAAGACATTCCTGGCACTAAAATGATATTTCCTTTGTTCATTAGTCACGTCTCAAGGCCCCTTGCACACTTGCAAAAGAATATTAGACTCACCAGTTGATGTGTATTGGACGCTTGGCATGATTTGTTTACTTTTGAACTTTGGTAAAAATCAAACATTTCTGCTACTTTGAGCTCAATTTCAAGGTACTTTTCATTGTAAAACCAGTCAAGATCATCTCAATTTCTGTAATATGTCTTCCATTCTATAAAATGTGACCAAGAAAACTAGAATACAACAATAAATACCATACGAAAATACAGTGCCAAGTCGCTGTTTATTCCAAAAAAATGGTCAAAGTTTTTTTTTCTCATTATGCACTGTGTGCTGCAGGAATTTTTTTATACTGTGCACACTGACAACATAGACCCATTCTTTCATATGTAGGCCTACCAGCTTTCTCCCACTAGATTTGAGGGCGCTAGAATTTAGGTGTACTAGTACGTCAAAAACCCTGGGTCGTAAGCCGTACTAGTACGGCCGAAACCCTCAAAGGGTTAAGTGGCAAGTGGTTCACAATTCAGGAAGAAGGAGGATAAGGAAGGTTAACAGAGAAGATGTGAAGGTAGGAAATTGATTCTCTGTTCTCCAGGATGAGTGTACTTCAGTGGTTAGAAAGGTTAAAGGTACCACTTATTCCCTTGCTAATCAAGGTAAGAATATTCTGATTGTGGGAGACTCTCAGGTAAGATAAATGGACCATGCTTTTTGTAACAGAGATAGGAAGATCAGACAGTGTGTGCGCCTCCCAGGAGCTGGTGTTAGTGACATAGTCAGCAGGTTGGATAATATTATGTCCGGTAATGGGAATAAGCCCATTATCTTAGTGCTAATGGAAATGACATCGGGAAGGGCAGGAGACAGGAGCTGCTGGATAAGTACAGGTCAGCCATAGAAGTAGTCAGGTCTAAGGGATGGATCCCAATCATATGTAGCATCTTGCCTAGAAGGGTAGTGGGCAATGAATAGATGTCTAGGGCAATTGGTATAAATTGCTGGCTAGACAGGTACTGCAAGGAACTTGCAATCCCATTCACTGATAACTGGGACAAATTCTATGGCAAATGTGATATGTATGCAAGGGATGGGGTTTATCTCTCTCGGGTTTGAGTGGCTGCATTGGCCAATTCAATTGAGGGGGTCACTGATGACTTGTCTACGACTTTAAACTGATAGATAATAGAGGTATGGGTGTTTGTGGGAAATAATCAGGCTGCAGTACTAGGGTTGGAAACAGCACATATTACCAGGACACCCCAGGGATATGTTTAAAAGACAATATTCAAAATAAAGTTGCTAGCAAAGGCAAAGCAACTGTTCAACAAAGAGATAGTAGAGGGCAATGAGTGACTAGCTCCCATAAAGCTTACTATACAAATAGTAGGTTAAAAAAATGATAGATGAGCTAAGATTACTTGCAAGTGCAGATAATACAGATATCATTGCTATAACAGAGACCTGGTTCAACTTGAAAGATAGAGAAATGCCTTCTGAATGCAACATACGGGGTTATAAACTATTCCACACTGATAGGGTCAACAGGAAGGGAGGTGGAGTGGTGATGTATGTCAGGGATAATTTAAATTGTTGTGTTAGACAAGATATAAGATTAGAAACATTGGACACAGAATCTGTTTGGCTACAGTTTCTCGAGGGTTGCGAAAAATTAATTTTGGGTGTTATTTTATAGGCCCCTGAACCTTGATATGGAGTGCAGTAAGCTGCCATGGGATGAAATTCATAAGGCGTCTAGATATGAAAATGTTGTGTTAATGGGAGATTTTAACTTTATACAAATTAATTGGAACAATGTGACAAGTACTCTTGAGCCTAGTGACTTTCCTGATATGGTTCAGGATTGCTTTTTAAAACAGTTTATGACAGAACCAACTAGAGGAAACAATCTGCTTGACTTGGTTCTTGCCAACAAAGATTCACTAATTAATAATCTTGAGGTTAATGATGAGCTTGGGGAGAGCGATCACAAATCACTAAGTTTCAATATATCATGGAATTACCCAGATAACTGCAATCAAGTCTCTGTCCCAGACTTCCACTTGGCCGACTTCATGGGACTGAGAAATTACCTGGGTGGGCTAAATTGGGATGACCTGACTATGGGTCAGGTAGGTGGTGTTGGTTGCCAATATGACG